TTTGGGTATATCAATAAACAACCAAAATTTAAAAAAAAATGCGTCAATTTACGTCGGACTATACCTTGTTCGACGTAAATTTACGTCGGGCCTAGCACAGACCGACATAAATTTACGTCGGACAGGGTATAGTCCGACGTAAATTGACGCGTCAGTTTTCCCCTTTCAAAGCCCTTTTTTACGTCGAGCTAAAGGTATCTCCGACGTAAATTTACGTTGTCTTTTCTAGGTGACTAACGTCGGAATCTTTTTCGACGTAAAAAGCTTCAAATACTCGACGTAAAAAGGGTCTTTTGTACTAGTGTCAAGTGTTGCTTCACCGGGACCTCGCCATGCTGTCCATTCTGCATTCACTAATCGAATAATCTTCAAAATTTAATTTTCAATGTTTTGAAAGTTGTAGATAAAAAATAATATTTGGTGCCACTTTTTTGTTAGCCACTTGGGAAGGTGTGGACAGACGCGCGTTATGTCTTTTGGCTGTATAGGAGGTTTTGTACCTAACTCTCTTAGCTGGCCTTTTGCATTCCTTAAGAAAAGGTTCAGTTTTCCAATTTATAATTTTACTTTGCTTCTAAAATAACAGGACAGAAGTATTTCTTCTATCCCACAATAGTTACAGTTGTAACATTTCAAAAATATTTCAAAATAAATGATATTCTTATTTTTGAATCTAATGTTAACTAGTTTTTTTAATTGATTTTTTCGTGTATCTTTTATATTTTTACTTACAACATTGAGTGTGGAGATACCTTTTTTTATCCTCACAGAATTAAAAGTTTCTTTTACATCAATACAAAATAGATAAGGTTAAAACAAATTTAACAATAGAAAATAAAAAGATTAAAAAGAAATTAAATATAAAGACTAAAAGAAATTATCTTAAATTATAAGAACTAAAAAGATAAATATAAGGTTAAAAAAATATTTTAAATTATAGAGACTAAAAATTAAAATAAATAAAATTAAAAAAATTTAACTTAATAAAATTATTAGATCTAAAAGTAATATATTTATTATTATTATTATTATTATTATTCATAATTTTTGTATAAAAACTTTAAACTAATTTTCTCACGGTGAGTAATTTATCATGGACATGTGTTAGTTTTCCAAATTGAATGCATTGACTCGGTCGTCCATTACTGTCGAAGACATAGTCCAAGTCATAGTTGTTTTTCAATAATAATTAATGAAATTAATTTTATATAATTCTGAGGATAAAATTTGACACTTGCTACAATAGTATACTATAGGTCTTTTCTTGATAGCGATTCATCTCTCTTACTCTCTTTATGTATATTGTACATGTGTGTATATATATCCTACTTTCCATTCAATTCCCATATACTTTTTTCTCCATTTAAGATGGGTTACTTTAAGAATCTTGTCTTAAACATAGTCTTGTTATTTGTGTTTCTCTTATCGATGAATCTCGCAACAGCAAGGCAACTATCAGAGCCTCACAAAGCACGTAAGTGACCTAACCATCTCTACAATAACTTGTTAGATCTTTCAAATTTAACCAATTAATAGTCTCTCTGATGTAGCAAGAATCAAGAAAGTTTGCTTCACGTCTCAATTGTGTTTTTTTTTCCTTACTAAAATTATTTAATTCCATAATTTGTATTATTTTGTATGAATTTTTTACATGGGTCACTGATTATAGTTCCAATAATGTTGTATGCATGGGAACCTTTAATGAAGCGGGACGCCTCCTTCTTTCTGCTTGTGATCCAAGTCCAACAAAGCACACTTATGCTAATCCTATAATTCGTCCACGAGGACTGTGAGGAACCAATTAATTATGGTGGCTAAAGCAAGTTGATCAATACCATAAAATAATGAAACCATACTGAAGCACAACCCTAGGGTTTCAAGGAAAAAACTTGCTGTGGAGAAGCAGATATTGATGCATATGTATTACTATGTTATATTTGTGTGTTTTGGAATTACCACATCCTTTGTATGTTATTAATTATATTAATAAATATAACTGTACCGTGTTAATTTGACAAAATTTTCTTTTGGTGTTGGTCCACCATAGCCATTTTCGTTAGGTACCATCATTAATTAGCTTCAACTTGTTACACCCATCCAATGGAATGTATCCACCCACATTCTTGTTGTTACTTGCAAAGTATTCGAGACCACACATGAGAATGAGATCGAGAAGAGATTAATTGTCTGTTTTTGTTTGGTAAGAGGTATTGAAACAAAATGAATGGACATATGAAAGAGGATAAGTGAAAAATCGAGTGAATGTTTTGGCTTGAAAGAAAAAAGAAAGAGAAGAATAAAAGGATAATTATCTTTCTTTTTGCGGTTATGTTTTTAGTGATTTTAATTAAATTACCAAAATTATATAAGAGGGTCGATCTGTTATTGTTAAATTTGATTCTTATGTGTTAAAAATAATTTTTAATTAATAAAAATAAAATGTGCATAAAAGTTAAAACTACTAGTGGTTTTAATTAGAAGAAAATTTACCACAAATATGCATAGATCTTGTGGGTTTGATTTCCGCTAATATGTGAGATGAATAAGGTGTTTTAGAATTATATTTCAAGATTAATATTTTCTGAAAGTTTAATAATTAATAGTAATCTTAAAACATAAAGTCCTTGCTACAGATCTATAGTTGAATCCTATGTAATTTTAGTTATTGAATATATTTTAAGATTTGTATAAACGAATGACCCGCAAAACCCGTAAGAAAAGGCAGCTTCCCAGCAAGTAGCTTGCTCACTCGGGAACAGCTGTCATTTAAGGCTCAAAAGTCAAAACTTCAAATAGATATGGGCCCACTTTTCTACCTCTTTATTTAAATTTGAAACAGTACATCTTAATTAGTTAAAGATAAGAAATAAAAAAGAAATTTATCTGGACTTACTTTATTTAATAACTCATATTTTATATTAAATTTTAAAAATTTAATTTTTGAATTTAAAGTTATTAATATATATAAATCAAAAGAAATTGTTAAATTTAAATTAAATAGTACATCTTAATTAGTTAAGAGGGATCCGTGTATTTTAAAAGTAAGTTTATCTAGACTTACTTCGTTTAATAATTAATGTTTTACATTAAATTTTAACGATTTAATCATTGAATTTAAAGTTCTTAATGCATATATAAATCAAATCTACAAATTTTTAAAAATTTAAAAATTATTTGATATTTCATTTTATTAATTCAAATATTAAATAATTTTTAATTTTTTTTAAAAATTTATAGAATTAATATATGTATTAAGAACTTTAAATTCAAAAATTAAATTATTAAAATTTAATATAAAAAAATAAATTATTAAATGGAGTAAGTTTAGATAAATTTATTCTTATAATAAATAAATTCCTCCTCTTAATTAATTAGTTCTATTAGTTAGAAGAATGCTACGGCCTCCAAATACACGTCCAAATAATTGTCCAAAATATTAAAATATTAATATTTTTTTACTAAATTTATTATGAAATATTTATTTAATTTAATATTTTATAATTTAAATTAGTATTTTAATGATTTCGAAACATTCTATGGTACAATTCATCATTTCCTTATAGTCATTACGGGATGCCGGTCAAGCAAAGTTGTTATCCACTATCACCGATTCACCGCCACCCATCGTTTTGGTGACTGAACTGTCCCTTAAAATTCAAACTTGTACACCTATCAATGTCAATGATTATGATGTATTGACATAGAAAACTGCTACAGCCTCCTCCGAAAATAGAGGCCTTTCAAATAATATTTTATTAATATTTTTTAATAAATTTATTATAAAATAATTATTTAATTTAATATTTTATCATTTAAATTAATATTTTAATTTTTGAAATGCTTTTCGGAAGTTACTTTGAAGGATGTATCATTTTTGATTGACATATTATATATTTATGAAAAAGGAATTTTCCTTTGAGAAACACAACATATGTAATGCAAAAACTATGCGAAAATTTTACAGAAATAATATTTTTTAAAAGAAAAAAAAAAACAAAAATGACACCTGTGCAAGTTTATTTACTAGAGTAGAACGGTTTACTATTTATGGTCAGAATTCGGTTCTCCGGGAATCGAATTCTGACCTTCAATATTTTTTTTTTTTTTCTTCTCAGAATTCGGTTCGCGGGGAACCGAATTCTGAGTTGTTTTTATATTTTTTTTTCGCTTTTGGGGTCCAGCCTGGGCAAATGTTGTAAGTGGAACGACCCATTCCGAAAGTAGAACGGGTCGTTCTGCTTAAAGACATAGAGTTATTTTTTTGAAATGAAAACGGGCTAAGAACGGGCCGTTCCAGAATAGAAATTTTAACATTTTTTTGAATCTGGAGCGGCCTTGGAATGGCCAGTTCCAGAACACGCCTTTAGGAATTAAAAATTGGTTTGGAACTGGTCGTTCTAATTTTGGAACGGCCCGTTCTAGGTAAACAGTAAAAGTGGCGCCACAAATTAAAAAAATAAAATACATAAAAAGGGAAAAAAATATAAAAAAAATATAAAGAAAATACAGAAAAGATAAATATTATATATAGATTTATAAATTAAAATACAAATAAATAAATAAAAAAAAAATATATATATATATATAACATAAAGAAAATACAGAAAAGATAAATAAATAAATATAAATTATAAGAACTTAATAAAATAAATTAAAATCTGGAAAAAAGAAATTAAGTAAATAATTTTTTAATTCGTAATATAAATATTTAAAGGAAAAAAATATATATAAAGTAAACAAATTACAGAAAAAATAAGTTTATAAATAGAAATTAATATTTAATTGGTAATATAAAAAAATTATTTTTAAAATTAATTCAGTTTATTATTTTTATTTTATATTTCTATTTTTTTTTCTTACACAGTGTCGCTATGGGCTACATTATTTTTGTTAGGCCATCAACTGTGCTGATCTAGCCTATAGCAACACTGGTGTGGCTCATTCCAGCCCAACCTAAACAAAAAAAAAGAGGTAACGGGTCATGGGTTTCGCTATGGGCCATAGCGACACCGTTGTAAACAACTCCAAAGGCGTATTTAGTTATAAAATAGTCCCATTTACGTAATATGTTTTTAAAACAGTCCCAATATGGTCAAAAAGCCCTGAAAGTTCTTAATTTGCCCAATATGGTCAAAAAGCCCCAATATTCATCTTCTTCTTTTTTTAAATTATTTACTTAATTTCATTTTTCTAGATTTTAATTTATTTTATTAAGTTCTTATAATTTATAT